AATATAAATGGTGAACAAATTGTTACGAGATTCGTAATTAGGCGAAGAAAAAATTTAATATGGATAATACTTTCTTTGGTTCTGATCATATTGATTATAGGATCTATTATTGGTTTAATAACTATCAGTTTCATAAAAGAAAAAACAACTTCAACAACAACAACAGGAGTAACAGTAACACAAACGACAGTAATGACAAGCAATAGCAATACAACAAGCATATCTTCGTGAAAAACGGAAGGACTAAGACACTAGTTTTATGTTAATCATTATCAATAAAGCTTCTATCATATTAGATGAATATATTATGTTCTTTGTCGAATACAGACAAAAAAAAAAGTGTACTATCATAAAAAAGCTGTTAGCGCAATCCCTTGCGGGATTAAAAGTGTGAAACACGATGGACCTATTGTTACGAATTAAATAGAAAACGTTTTCTTCCATTTCTTTATGACAGATTTGTAGCTGATCGTTCATTTGATGCTTCAAATCTACATTTTCTTTGTCACAGTTTGTGACGGTCTTTGGCAGTTCTCTGTCACGGTCTGTGACAATCTTTGGGGGTTCTCTCTCACGGTCTGTGATGATGTTTCAAAGTTCTCTGTCACGGTCTGTGATGGGCATGGAATTTCTCTGTCACGGTCTGTGGGGGAGGGGGATCCAAATTTCTACCCCTAAACACTTCAACACTCTCTTTTAGATCGTGTTTCACCATACGCAATAATTAAGATTCCATGTTTAGTAAAAAAGACAAAGTATTGTTTATAACTAAATGTAACTTTCATAGTTACATGATAAAATACACTGATTAAGACGATTATTTTTTATAATTTGTCTAGATGATAAAATTATTTTTATTTTATATGAGATTTATGTCCGAAATTCTCAATGTTAATGAACTTTAGTCGTTATAACCGTCATATGATTTCTATGACAATGGCTGATATCAACAAAGATGGAAAAGCAAAAAGTTGTTGTGATCGATATGCATGGAGAACTTAACACATTCAAGAAAATGTGACCTATAGAAATATTATGCACATATGTATTCGAAATAATTACTTTAAAGAAGAAGTTTCTTATCAGTTCAGTAAGTTTATTTTTATTTCAAACTATTCAGAGTTCAATTTGTTTGAGATAAAACTAAACCTCTTACAAATCAAAGTCTTCATTCATTTATATATGATTTTTTTTTTCGAGAATTGTTCAACATCATCTTGTCTTTTTGAAGCTGATTATAATATTATAATGCTGCTTTTGTTAATATTACTCTTATGAAGGAAATCTTTGAACATACTTCATTCATTAACAAAAGGATTAACCTATTTGATTAAAATAGAGTAGAGATATTCAAACATTTTTACTATCATGCATCTTGATGATGAGTTACATCGCTTCAACTATGTTAAAATTTTCTTAACTTTTCGACATTACACTAAATTTTATTCAATTGATTTTGAAATCGACACGTCGTAAAAATAGTCAATATCAATATTTCACAATATAATGCACTTCACTGGTTTTTGAATAACTTTTGATCGGAATATAATAGAGACCTACGGTTTTCATCATTCAAGAGAGAAATTTCGAGGTCATCGAATTATATCAAAATTCGATTAGTCAGCAATTGACTAATTAGTTGAGTTTTCGGAATAGACTTTTAATAAAACGAATCGATAGAAAAAAAATCTTCTCTTTCAATTTACACAGGGCTGATATTCTTAGTTTGTTCAATTCGAGAGTTTTAAGACTTTTCCTGATACCTCCGATTTCAGCCAATCGACCTTTGATCTCTCGGAAAAAGCAGTTAATTAAGAGTAATTTACCATGCTGAGTACTGGAATTGGGAGTCTCAGGCAAAGTTTTATAACTCTCGAATGGAACAAGCTAGAAGTGTCAGCCTTGTGTAGATTGAAAGATTACAATTTTCTCTATAGACAGCTTCCTATGATGTTCTTGTACGGAGGGGTGCTACCTCTTTGATCCTCACACTGAATAAAATATTTCCATAGATTAGTAAGTCAAACTATTAGTTTTGAAATACGACTCTAATTTCCATCCAATTTTATATCGATCAGTATTCATTTGTTTTCTCTTTCTATTGTTGTAGATCACCAAGAGATGTCATTCTTAATTTAATTCGAATACATTCAAAATCAGCTGAATGTGAACGAGTATAAAATCTTAAAGATTTTTTTTCTAAAAAAAAATGTCTCTTGATTATAATGAAAATTCTCATTCACTTTTTTTTTTGTTATTCTTTTGTATAATTTTCTTTAATTGATGAAATTTATAAGTCTACAAAGAAACTTAATCTAAAAATCTGATTGTTCTTATTAAAGAAATTATGTAATACATTCATTATTAAAAAAGAAAAAGACGATAAGCTTTTAATTGATTAATATTAGACTAACAAATGTTCATTTATATTTTGTTTAATTACCTTCATTTTTAAGCTATCGTTGTTTATTCAAATAAAATTGATTGATATTGTTTTTATCCTCATTATAAAAACATCATTTCATCAAATAAAACACAAATAATCGGATATCCGAAAAATCAAAAGAAACAAAACATCATATATTAATATTTATCTTGTCTATCGTAGAGATCACTTCTATCCCACCCATAGATGAATTACATGTGTTTTAATTGAAATAAAATTTTCACTAATTTATTTTTTCTTTTCAATGAATGAAACAAAAATTATTTGTCTTCAATGTTTTATCGAGATTTTTTTTCTCTTCCGGAGAGGCGATTTAAAACATTCCAAGGACAAACTCTACGTTCAAAGGAACGTCAATCATTCGGCCCTCATACAATGGATAAGACATTGATTCTTTTTCTTATTTCAACAATTGTTTGTTCGCTTATATTTCTTTCTTTTTCTTTTATATACATGTACATGTTAGTACTCTTTTACTTTCCAATCGGGCATGTGCATATGTAATATTACATTTCACTATTATCAATATAAAAAAAAAATCATATTGCTGCCGTCAGAAGAATCAGATATAATCTTACAAGCAATCAATATAATACAAAAACGGTAAAATTATTTTCTTATGAAAAGAAAAATAATATATAGAATCAAAGGAAATTTATTTATCCTTGATTTAACATGCGAAATCAATCGTAATTATATTGTATCTTTTTTTTGTCTTTTCTCTTACAGAGAATTAGTAATACTCGAATTGACTTTTTCATATTTTTTTAAACAGACTTATATAATTCTTTTGATTTCTATCGATAAAATTCATAGTATAATAAAACAAAAAGTTGACCTTCTCTCTCTCTCTCTCTTTCATTCCTTTTCTTCTGCTCTGATCAGTTCACTTACAACAAATTACAACCTTTCGTGTTTATGTATATTTATAAAGCTTTACATTTTGAATATATCATTTACATTGTTCAAACAAAAATTACGTTTATCTCAGCATGATTTTGGTAATTACTATAAATAGTTATGTAATATAAACATGTTTGATATTTCGATAATTCATTTTTTTTTAAATCAGTTTCATATTACTAAAATCGTCTACATACATGTTCATCGATACAAACTAATATCTCTGTATTCAATTGATACATCTTTGTCTATGTACTATTCACATAAATTCAATTTATTTTATAACAATATGAATATACATATATATATATTTTTAACGTATTAAATGTTTTTGTATATTATTATATTATCTATTGAAAGTAATTCTAATCATACGTGTATATATATGAACAATTTATGCTAGGAGAGAATAGAATTGAAAGATTCAAGTGTTTTTGTTTGATCATTTGTGTAGTGACTAAAAAGATTATACATCTTTGTCTGTCTTAAGTTTGAAATATAAGTGTGTATATCTATGATAAACAAGTAGATCTATATATAGAAATACTTCAAAGGTAAACTAAGGTTAATATTTTGATGTATAGACCGTTTTTTTCTTTTTTTTTTATATTTACAAGGTAATGTTTTATACAATGTCCTTGACCTTGGAAGTTTAGATTTTTATCTGCTAGTGGTCGTCACTTTATACATGTCCTATGATCTTCGTATTTTCATCATATACTTTCGAAATGATTTATAATAATGAATAAAAATGTTGTAATATTTCAACAATTAGAATCATAAAAAAAGAAAAAGAAAGTAATTTTCCGGTTCATTGCTATTGACTATTTGATCAACAAGCTCTAAGTGTTCTATGTATATATATATTGATTTGAAATTCTTTTGTTTATTTGTCATAATGAATGATATATGTACCTAAAAAATCACGATTGAATCAATGAATTTTTCTTTGTCGTCATTGATAATACAAATATCATGATAAAATAGATAAAAAATGTCGAAGTAGAACTTTTTCACGGTTGAAATAAATCTTCGCATTTTCTTTTTTTATTATGTCAGTTATTATTTGCTTAAATGAAGATTTATTGTTGTTTCAAGATATTAGATTTTAATTATTCAGATTAATATAAAGTATGAATATACTTTATCATGGACACAGTTACAGAAATGAGTAAGATTTTTACCTTACTTTTGTGAGATTGGAAAAGAAAAAGAAGAAAAAAAAAAACAAAAAAAAAGAACAGAATCTTTTTTGAGAAAGAGAGAGAAAGAAAATGACTTTTATCATTTTTTTCTCGCTTTCTGTTGAACTCAACTCCAAGGTAGTTATATATATATATATACGCTTCTTTTTTTTTGTTTCTTCATACTTTATTTTACTAGAAAGACTCAAACGGAAATGAGAAGGACACACGCCGTTACTGCTTTTCCTCATTTTGTTATTCATCAATGCACGCTTATGTGTGCTCATGAAGAGGAAAAAAAAAGAATTTTTAGAATGGGATTAAAATCGTTTGTCGAACTGAAAAGATCATGAGGAGGAGGGATGTATGATTCATTTTCTTTTGTTTTTTTTTTTTCTTCATTGATTCATAATTTTATCTCTTATAAATTTACTTGTTACAATTTTTAGATAACAAAAAAAAAATCGATGGCTCTTTTCTTTATTGGCTATTTGATATCTGTAACAAGTACAATTGCATTTATTGTTGCTATTCTAACACCAAAATGGATTTATCCAAATAATTTCCCAGTTGATACAAATAATCCAACATCACCAAGTGAAACAAATTATCGAGGAATATTTTATGTTGATGCAGGTTATCCTAATGGAACTTGTCGTGATTGGATTTTAATGTATAAAGATTCGGTAGCTTCTTGTCGACCAAGTATGCTATTAAAGAATTATTATTTTTTTTATTCAATATTTATTTTAATTATTTTAGCGTATGCTATCGCATGTGCGTCTCTAGCAATAATTGCTTCATCATTATCGGTAATTCTTCTTTGGCTTGCTGGTGCATATTTATATATTCGTCGTCAACGTCTTGCTCCATTATTTGTGACAATAATAACCTTGTTAACATTTTTAATTTGTAAGTAATTTTTAATTATTTATTAATATCTATATTTTTATTTATTTATTGAAATCTATCAGTTTGGATAAGTGTAGTTATATGGGTTGTAATGATTACAATGAATCGAGATGTAAATGCTAAAATGCGTCGTGAAAATATTGGTTTTTCAACATGGATTGCAGTTGGTGCAAGTGGTGGTTATTTATTGGCTTTTATAGCATTTATTCTTTATCGTATTGCACTTAATCGTCGAAGACCTCTTAAAGACCCGAATTTGAATTCACGTCGATTTTAAATAAAAATATTTTAATATTTTGTATACATAAATGTCCTTTTTTTTTGTTTTTTTCTTACTTGAATATCTGTGTTTTCATGATTTTTCTTTGTCTTTGTCGATGTTGTGTTCTTTTTGTTTTCGTTTTATTTGTTCAATAACATCAAAAAGAAAAAGAAGAAGCAGAAGAAAAAATTTAAATTTAATTTATATAAAAATATTCTTATTTCAGAATTTTTTATGAAAAAAATAAAAAAAAAAAGAAACATTTATTATAGTAATGTTTGACATGAAATATACTTATCGTTTTTTTTTTATTTTGGAAAGTTTGATTATTTTATATATAAAATTAGCTAACTCTTATGAAGTAATACTATTCTAAGTATATGTTTGCGATAATAAATCTTAGTCAGAAGCATTTAATTCGACCTTTATCGGTTCGTATGTATTGAATTTATGATTCATATGTCATCATCTTATCTGAATCACGTGCATAAAAGTATTTTCGTGCAACTTTCTAATAAAAAAAATCGACGTCATAGCTATTTCTAGTCGAAATTTTATTAGAAAGTACTTTAAAATAAGTGAGATATTGTTTTCTCTTGACGAATTTTGACATGTAATTGTTGAGTTTCGCCTAAATTTAGAATTGAATTACTTGTCTGTCTCATTCTAACTCTAATAGATTGATAAGATCCTTTCGCTGCATTAAATATAAAAATCTACAATATTCCGACTAATTAGAATTTTAGATTCATAGAATGCTTTAGGGAATTCTAGAATGATCTACGTATTATTATCACTGATGCGCCTTTACCCATTGCTAGGAAAATATACTCAATGACCTTTAGTTTTCTTTTTTCCACCTCCGATTGCTAAGATCTGATTTAAACTTAAACTCAATATTTTCTTCGAAAGTATTTATATGTTTCACAAAAAAAAAAAAGAAAAAGTTTTTGAGTGCATATTTCCGCTGAATATGTTTTTGACAAGAGGAAGGTGATATTTGAATTGTAATTTTAGTACGTGTAAATTGATCAAGGATGGTATTAGGTTTTTTGTTGTCGTACAAATGCATTCAAAATATTAGTTTAATATCATAAATAATAATTACACTTCATAGGAGACAATTAATTTCGAGGATAAAAATTTGATGAAATTTGACAGCTCAGTGCTGTTTCTATCATCAATAAAAATTTCATGTCAAATGGTTTTAGTTTGTCTAATAAACATGTGAATCTTTATTTGTTAATAAAAAAATGAAGGTAATAGTGGAAAACTAATATTTTCATTGTTGCATTAAGGTCTATTGATCTTAGGTTGCTGCAGGCAATCATGGTTTACTGAGCTATATTTGTAAGCAATAGAATTAAAGGTTATGTATTTTCTACCCGATAGCAAGACTCGTTGCAACTACTGTATATACAATAAATATCTTATTTGTAGATTGTTAAGATTAAATATACTAAAAAGAATATAAAAGTTATTAAAATTTCAATTTTTAAGATTCTGATTGATCTAAATTCCTTTATTTAAACTTATTATTGTGAAACATATATTTATTTCTATGAATTAACATTTGTTTTTTGTGTTTTTTAATATTAATCAACCTATAATAAATACATCATATATGTTATTATAGTGAAAGGAAGTTATGAATGAGTCATCATTTATGAAAACATTCGTCTACTATTGATATAATGTTGTCAAAGAGACAAAAAGACGTTCCTTTCTTTCTTTCTTGCTTTTTTATTAACAGATATATTTCTGACTAGAGATCTCTATTTGAAATCTTGAATCAACAAATAAATTCAGAATATTTTTATATAATATATTCGACAATGAAAACAAGAAACATATTCATGCCATTCTGCTAACAACTACTTCGGCAACATTTAAAGAGAGCATCCACGCCACAAGAATCAGATCACTTTTAGCGGTAAACTGTCGGGTTTTTTTCTTGATTTTCGTTATATCGGCAGTACAAACAAAACAATTTAGATCTAAAACACATGTTTACAGAAAGTATCCTTAAACGGTGCCCACAGGTCTATCAAGAGCAGATGTACTTCTCACTATTGACATCTATAAGTAAAAGTCGGACAATGCAAAAAAATCAAAAGCATTCTAATTTATCCTAAATTAGCATAAGATAAGAAATAATTTAACACTAATTTAGTTTGGAGGAAATATCAGCTTTTTTTTTTATAGATATTCAGCATTGAGAAGGTTGTTTCCCTAGTAATGAAAGAGACTAAAACGGAATAATGGGTAATGACAGAACGTTTTGCAATAGATAGTAGATGGTTTTAATATCTTCTTATTGAAAAGAACGAATATATTGTCCTCAAACTTTCCACATATTATCAAATATTTTATTCTTGTTTCTATTCTTTTATGTTATGAGATACAAGGCTTTTTATTTCATTTTTTCACATATCGTAATCGGAAATAATTTGTTCATGTATATCAAATGCATTCATTTGTTTTATTTCAAATGACAGTAAAAGTATCAAAAATAGAAAATTCCCCTGAAAGAAAGAAATATTGAAACAAATTTCATAGCTGCTACGTAGTCGAATGTTTTCTTTCAGAATTAGAATATCATGAAAGTTTTGCCATAAATTATTTGAATCTTGCTACAACAAATATTTATACTAATATTCATGCTTATCCACACAAAATAAACTTGTTTCAAGAAATATCCTTGAAAATAATTTCGAATCATCGTTGATTAAAAAACTTATCAATTTAGTTGCAGATGATTTCAAAGGAACATCATAAAACAAATTGATTCTTTGTAAATTTTCAAGTGATGAAATACATACGTCAAATAATCATGAGTGAATTTCTGTTGAAAAAAAATATTATTTGTTTGTTAGATTAATAATATAGAAAAAATATACAAGTCAATACCAGGACTCGAAACGGACCCGAACGAAACCTTATTTCCTCAATAAAATTTATAGATCGCTACAGCAGCTGCTTATGTGCTGAAGAGCAAATCCTCTGCCTTATTTTAAGTTTAATTAGCTTAGACTCTGGAACTAAAAATAAAATTAATATGCAAGAAGTTGAATTGCTTTCTTAAGTGAAGCAAACAAAAATAGTCAAGATTTTAGAACTCCCTGATGCTTATTCTACATAGCACGATATTCTCTATGGTACCATGTCTTAAATGAGTTACACTCATGGAAAATTCATTGCATTTCTCAGTGGAGAAGCTAGCTAGTGGTCAAAAGTAATTTGTAAACAAGAAAAAATTTATTGATATCTAAAATTTGAAGATCAACCTCCCAATTTAATCGTTTAGAATTTTTTTTTCGACCCTCTAATAGACTATGTTCTACTTTGAAGGATTAGAAAAAATGTTATTTAAAGTTCCTATGCTCGGTGGCAGCTTATTTTCTGCAAATCATTTCCACTCGTTAATTAATACCATTTTTGCAACATAGAACTTCGCAACTAGATGAGAAATATGACTCGGTTAAACAATTATTCGAGTTGATTATATTAATTATACTTCCCAGAGACTTCAAAAATAAAAAAAACACCCACGATTTTTATATCAAAAACATGACAAAACATCGCATTGCTGGTGATGAAACGGACATTAATTTTGACGTACTTCAAATTCATCTACTACAAACAATATTTTAATGAAAGAAATGCAACGATTATGATTTTGAATCAAAATAACAGATTTTAATGCCGTTTTAATCAATAAACTTGAAAATATATTAAGAAAAGTTTTCGTTTCATCATTCCAAATGTTTTCAAGTGACGAGATTGAAGTTTAGATACTTTTTCTATCACAAAACATTCATGATAATTTCGAGTTTTTAAAATGAGCATATAATTTATTAAAAAGCTGAAAAAAAACAATAAAAACCGTCCGATATTTACGATATGGGAAGCGTCGAACCGTGTGGCTCCGATCAGTACTATGAAAAAATAGTTTGCTTCAAACAAATCTCTAGGAAATTTCCTCCAAACCAGACATAGGACGTTCGAATCACAATGAAATTCTGACTTGTTTAATGTATTATCATCTAAAAAAATTCATTATCAGAAATTTTAATCAAAGTGCATCAGTCACTTTCAAATCTGCTATATAAAGCATGAATCATTGGTCCTTGAAATCTTACCATATGTATGTTGAAAAGGAAAAAGAAGAAGCCAACATGTGATGCAGATAAGAAAGATTTCATCATAGGTGTACTTAATAATTTTATAATGACCTACTTTTCAACAAAATATTATAAATTTATTTTATATCAGTTATATAAACTAAAAATTAAAGATTTATCTTTTAAATAAATAATGACAAATTCTTCTAAAAAATGTGTTGCTATTATTGGTGCTGGTGTATCAGGTCTTATATCAGCAGTAAATATGTATAAAGTTGGTATACAACCAATTGTTTTTGAACAAGCATCAAATATTGGTGGTATATGGAATATTGATATAAAACCATGTTGGAATTCAATGACAACAAATATTTCAAAATTTTCAACAACATTATCAGATTTTTCTTGGTCAAAAAATATGTCAATATTTCCTAATCAACGTGATGTTTATCAATATCTATCTAATTATGTTCAACAATCATTACCAAATAATATTTTTCGATTTAATACTCAAGTTTTAAATATTACTTATTTTAATCATAAATGGATAGTTGAATATTCTACAAAATTAAATAATAAATTATCTGAACAATATGATTTTGTTATTGTTGCATCAGGCTTTTGTAATTGTTCATATATACCGAAAAATATTATTGATCATTCATCATTTCAAGGTACATTAATACATAGTTCTAATTATCATTCACCAGAACAAGTATATAATAAAAGAGTTATAATTGTTGGTGCATCAATGAGTGCAGTTCAAATAGCTGCTGATATGGCAACAACTGCAAAACATATTATTCATATTGTACCACATAGTTTTTGGTCATTACCTCGTTTTATACCATTAATACCAAATGATCCAGTTTCACCTTTTCTTCCAATTGATTTTGTTTTATTTCGACAATCAAAAAGAATATCGAAAGAAGAAATCTTATTTCGAAATAAAGATGATTATAAAAAACTAAATCAATATTATCAATTAATAACTGGTAATAATCAAAAATCATTTTATTTAATTGATAATAATGATGAAAAACCACCATATATGACTATTTCTGATATGTATGCTGAATGGAATCGTGCAGGTAAAATAACTTTAAAACAAGGACGATTAAATAAAATAGAAGAAAATGGAACATAGGAAATAATCATAAAGAATATTCGAATGAAATTTATACATCTCAGCATTCGAGGAAAGACGTACGTTACAAATCATATAAATAAAAAAATTCAAATTTATATTAGCGCCACTCATCAACGAACGTCCTGATTGGATACTTTCATTAATATTAAACAATGGAACGACAATTGAAACAAGTTCAAATGATATTCTTATATTATGTACTGGTTATCAACCATGTTTTGATTTTTTCTCAAAAGATATTCTTGAACAATTATCTTATATACCCAATGATACATTTTGTCCAATAATTCTTTATCGTTGTACATTTCATCCAAGTTTACCTAATCTAGCATTTATTGGTATGCAACGAGGCCCACTTTGGCCAATTATTGAATTACAATCACGTTGGGTAGCTGGAATATTTTCTGGTCTTTTATCAACTCCTTCAATTATTCAACAACAAATAGGTCTTAATATGGAACGTCGTATACGTGATCAACAACCTCGTCCTCAATATCCACATGGTGATTTTGTTGGGATTATTAATGATTTAGCAAAAGAAATACTTGTAACAACATCATCAGATACAAATGATATTGTTATACCAACACAATATAGAATTAATGGACCTGATCAATCTGTTACTGATGAAATGAATTCTATATGTGAAGAAGCAAATAATGGTCGATTTATTGCTGGTGCTGTTTTTCGTTCACTTCATGAAAGTAAATGGACATTTGAACGAACATTAAAAGGTAAACCTTCTGATGGTATTGTTCATGGTCAAGCACAATTTAATTTTTCTCAACAAAATGAACTTATTTATAAAGAACAAGGGAAATTAATTTTATCATCACAAGAAATATTAGATATTACACAAAAATATATTTATATTTATGATGAAAATAAAGATCTTATAACTGTTTATTTTGTTGATAATAATGATAAACGTTCTTCAATTTTTCATACAATTTCTTTTCAATCAAAACAATCATCAAATATTGGATGGATTGCATATGGTGAACATTTATGTAATCAAGATCATTATTTTATTTCTTATTTATTTATATTTAATGGAATAAATTTATCACAATTTGAAATAACATATACAGTTAAAGGTCCAGCAAAAGATTATATTTCAAAAACAATTTTTCAACCAATAAAAATCGAATAAATTTTTTTTTTTTTTTGAGATAAATTAATTGTCTTGTTTTATTTTATATTTAATTTAAATTTTATACTAGTAATTTATTTAAAAAATTAGTAACATTTCGTATCTCGTTGAGAACAAACCAAGGGCCGAAATGGAAAGAATTTTTTGTTCTTCGCTGTCTCATTGGGCTTCTAATAACTGATGCAAAAGTCTTTGGACAAATGTCAGACTCTGTTAAACCATATTGTCACTCTGTAACCAGTCAAATTTTATTTTTGTTTGAAAGAGCAAAAGCCAAAAATCAAACACTTCCAAAAAGGTTCTTGCAAGTTCACTATCATGCACGGTCGTTATATATTTTTTGTTAATTGTTTTTATATTAGAAGAGAAATGAGAAAACTCGCTGAATGCTGATTCTTGTAGTATAAAGAGTGCTCTTTCCAATGGTGTATTGCAAGTTAAATTAACACTTAGTTTTTATACTAAAATACAGCTTTTTTTTCTGAAAGCGACTGTATAATTTGGTCATTCTTACTACCTGACCGTTTTGCGACGACAAAAAAATGTTTTTTGAATTATTTTTTTTTCTGTTAAGCTTATGTAAACTGCCGTATTTCGAAATAATAACGCATAAAGATATCATTTTATTCATGATTTCTGGAAATGGTGATTGATGTACTTGTTAATTAACTGATACTCCTGCCGAAAGACTTTATTTTACGAAAATTTGAATTTCTAAACTTTTTTGTTTAAAGATTGAAGAACGGATCTAAAACAATTTACCAAAGCTGATGTCAATAGAGTTTTTGATGCACTACATTTTGGTGTAAAGTTTTTGTTACAATTCGCCGTCCGTGTAGCTTAAAATAATCGAAAAAAACATACTTTTCAAGTTGCAAGGACCTTTTTTTTTAGAGGTACTTAGTTTTTGGCTTTCCCTCCTTCTCAGCTTCGTTCTGGAAACATATGTATTGTACAAAAGTTGTAGTTCAGACTTTGCTCTCTCGAACAAAAAAAAAATTTGACTGGTTTAAAGAGTGGTAATATAGTTTAACAGAGTCTGACATTTGTCCAAAGACTTTTGCATCGCTTATTATAAGATGCTTGTATCTTTTGACCATATAATTTATTCGACTACATATTGCAAAAACAGGCATGCGAACACAAGAATACAACAATTGGGTACATGAACACAAAAAAGATACAATTCGAGATCAATCAATATTTTACTTTGTTATTCTCTATCGAACAAAGACATACAATATTGTGAACAGCTGTTGAGTTTGAGTTAGTTCTAATTTGTTTAACAACTCGATCTGTGCCAAAAACTCTCTTTCGAAAATAGGTGAACTGTATTGTTGACAGCCACAAAGATTTAATTCTTAGTAAATATTACAATGAATATTCGATATTGATTTCAGATAATTAAACGATGGTTGCAACTAGAGTTACTGTTTTTCTAAGTGTAATCTCATTTTATTTCTCACTTATTATTTTTTACCGTTTTGAAACGAAAAGTAATCCGACACCAGCATCCATGAATACATAAAACAATGACACTATCAAAAAGTTATGCGTGCAGTTTTACGAAAAATATCCTATTGATCTTGTTAGCGTCAACAGATGACACTATGTCAACACTAACTTAATTGAAGGAAGTTCAATTAGTCACTTCTTATTTTCTCATTTGTCGGCGTCTTCCTTTTCGTTCGTTCAATAGTAAGATTTCTCTTTTTCGTTCAGTTGTTATTTTGTTTTGGTGGAGAGGAGTAGCATTTAATGCTACCTCTCTTGTGTGTGTTTTGGTCTTCGTGAAATAAACCATCCATCTGAAAACGATCCCACATCGCCTCCTCAACTGATCACATATTTCTGAACATCAAGGTAAGTCCCCTAATATCCTATAATAACATCATAACATTAACGTTTGGCCTAACAGATCTGATCATCTATTTGGTAAATCTCGTATCCACAAACATAACAACGCTAATCATTTCATTTGCCTTCTGCTTATCAATTTAAAGCTGGTTAACGTATCCCATGGAGATGACAGAATCTATCATAAACATTTACAAAGAAATGAAAACTACAACCCAAGTCGTATTTACTGAACTTTGGACAACCGCATGTGAATGTGGGTGAGGTATGGATGTAGAGTGTGGGTGTGAGTATGGATGTGCATGTGAAGAAATTACGAGAAGATGAATTCTATACCACACACCTACATCCACAGTCCACACTCACATCTTTTTACCGCTCGCTCTCCAACCCATAGCAACAGGGGTGGGAAAGACTCATGGTGATTGGATACGTTTACCTGTAGTAACAGAAAAAGATATGTCAGTAATAACAGTGCTTAGACTATTATGGAACTTTTTAGAATCTTTCAAAGCATTCTATTGATCCAAGAGTTCTACTATCGATTCTATCTCATGCCCATATCGAAAAAACAGGGTGGGTAGAAATGTTTTTAATAACTTTTGATAGCAATAAAATAGAGAGCTGCAGTTTTCACCTTTAGAAAGACGAGATGAAGACGTATCGAATCGTATATTACAAGCTTTTTCGACCTGGATTTTTTTAAGGTTTTCAACCGATCTTACTGGAAACCAATGTACTCTGTGAGGGAACTATAGTAAATTCTGAATAATGACGTGTGCAACCGAACCGCCAATTGAACATCTACAAGACTACGGAAGCCTCAGATTTTTAGATTTAGTTATTCGAGACTCATAACTATTTTAGTAAAAATATTCGGCCGTTTTTTTCAGCAATTGCTCTGCAAAAAAAAATTATATTTTTTCATAAATTTGATTAAAAAAACTTCAGAAAACATCTTAGGAGAGCCTATAATGGCGGATTCGATGTGACTTTATCTCCTTTTTTTAATGTGCATTAATCGAAATACTGCTGATATTGGTATCTGATACAGCGAAAAGATCTTACTGTAGATGTCAATCCGTAGGACGGTGGTATTATTAGTCTATCAGAGCAGAATAGGACGAACATAGAAACGTATGAATTATTAGAACTCTAAATTTCGGCAACACTCAAGAGTATATAAGGTGTTTCATTAATCTTGAGGTGCAACAAAATTAGTTTATATGCAAACGAAGAATAATTCCTAACTAAGTGTTTTTATATTACTTATATTAATCTTTTAAATGACATGTTATTGGATAATATCTTCTTTTGTAACAATAAAAATCTAAACAACAGAATGTCAGGATAAATTTTTTACAATCCGATCAACAAAATATTTTAATACGAAAAACATTTATATTAATCTGATTACACAAAAAGCTTATTTTACTATCATGTATTTGTTGTTCATCACTTGTTATTAATTCACTAACTGTCAATCATGTCCTTCTCTTTTTCTAGAAGAATAACAATGAAAGATAATCCTCAATGTAAACAATGACTATTACCTATTCGTAGATCAGCGACACTCATCTATTCGTTGACCTTTTATTTTTCTATCTCATATGAGTATATATAGTTTTGTTTTTCTTCATCATTTTTATTGTTGTTAACGTCAACGTTGTTTAGCTACCCAGGTCAATCACGCCGGATCGGATCCTGTCGGTTCCAAATAATTCCGGCTGGAACCTGTACAGATTTTGCCGGAATCCTAACTAACGGATTCCGACGTCGGATATCGTCGGAATCCGGCCAAATCCGACCGAATCCTGTCTATTCTTGTCGGGTTTTGCCAGATTCCGGCGATATCCGCACCGGAATCCGTTAGTTAGGATTGATTGACCTGGGTAAACAAAAAAAAAACAAGAAAAGACATGTCTGAGAAAGAAGAAGTACGTTCATATATTTTCATTTTTTACTATTAAGAATGTATATCTTTATTTTTTGTAGAACAAAAATGGTCAATTAATATCTACAATTCATCAATTATATTTGGCACTAAATCAAGGAGACATCAACGTCGATCAATTTCTTGATGAAATGCAGAAAAGAAATAAAAGAATATATAAAATCATTTTTTTTTCTTATTGACTATGATACGATTTTTCTTGTTGATTAGCTTAAATTCTTGGATAATATGATCAGGATGCTCATTTATTATCCAGGATTTGTTGTTATTCATCTAAGTTTTTTGTTGCTCATGTTCCAGGATTTTTTTAAATTTTATGTAGTACCATTAGAATGATCATACGATAAAAAGAGGAAGAGCTCAAATATCATTTTAAAAATGTCTCCATTGAATATTTTATAGTCTTTTATCTTTTGTTCATGTTCATCCAGATCGAAAAATCCAACAGTTGGATCCAATCGGATCCGATCAGACTCCCTGGATAGTCCGACAATATCCTGTTGGAAGTTGTCGGAATCTGTATCACTGGAATCCGACAGGAATTTGTCGGATATCAGTGTCACTGGAATCCGACAGGAGTTTGTCGGATATCAGATCCGGCAACTTCCGACAGTTAGATCCGATAATAGAAAAACGTCGGATATCCTAGGAATCCGATAGAATCGCACTGTATTTCCTTCAGGATCTCACGTGTTTGCAGTTCGTATTGTCCAGTCATTTGTTATTCATATTTTGATAAAGAGAGCATTTTTTTCATGATCAATCAACTTTTATTGTAGCAAATAAAACTTAACTTTTAAATAAAAAATATACAAGCGATTAGAAGAAGCATTAAAATAAAGCTAATCACAAGATATACACAATTGTTTGGCTGTTACACATCAATATCACTACAGGATTACCAAAAATGTTTTTCCCAGGAGGTAACACTATAATTTCAAAGCGTATACATAACTAATTTTATATCAAACAAAAGCACGTCGAAAATGGGATTTATTGGTATTAAATAGTAAAGACTATGAAAACGTTTTCATGTCAAACTTATGACATTTTCAGAAATATTATACCTTTTTGATATAGAAAATTGAGGTGTCAGTAATTCTAAAACGGAGTAAAAATAATGAAAAAAAGTTCATATTAATTAAAAGTCACGTTTGTTTTTCATGGAAAAAAAGGAATTTTTTTATTATTTTTTGAGATTATCCAAGTAGTGTTGTGGATTTTTTATTTCTAAAATACAGTCGGAATCCAACCAAATCCGACGTCGGAAACCATCAGAAATTAACAGATAATGATGGTTTCCAATGATTGGATTCGACTATCGGATAGTTTCGGATCCGCTAGGGTAAATTTGACCTGAGTATATACATTATATACATGTTTGTGAGTGGAATCAAAATTCAATGGAATATTTTATCATAATCTTCAAACAAATTATGTTGATAAATAATTATTATATATTTTTATTAGGAAATAATCAATTTGTATATTTACTTTCTATTAAATTATTTTTAATTGTTACAATGTGAAGTACTGTATAGCAGTCGTTCATGATTTTTTTTTCTCGACTCACTCTCAAAATCGTCATTTTATGATGCGATGATCTAAAGATTGCAGAGTCGTACAATTTTCATTCAAACGCTTTTATAAAGTTCTATATTCGTAGATGATTAGACAAGGTGGTCACACTGAGAGGAAGCATATAATCTTCCAAAACAGACGTATGACATCGATCAAGCCAATATCTGACAGTATCAACGAGCGGATTGATGTGAAAAGTTTACCAATATTGTTACATGGGTTCGATGACTTTTGAACGAACGATATCATACAATTTGATTGCGATCGAGTAACGGAAAATGTTGACTGACATAGATAAAGAATTTATTTAAGATCCACATGAATTTGATGACAGTGATCAAGAAGTAAACCAATGCAAGAATTGAGTAAAGAAAAAGAAAAATAAAGAGAATATCAATCGAAGAATTCGAACAATTCTATCAATAATTCATTAGAAAGTTTTTTGAATTTTGTTGATGGCAACGATGGCAATCTTAAAAAATAATGTTCTACTATAATACAATACAATTTCACTGAAGGAATATTTTAAATCCTCAGATTAGATGTAATTCGAAAGGTCATAGGCAATCATCTCTCGACTTGCACACAAAGGTTAAAAATCACTTACAGATGAAAATGATCTCTTTATGGACAATTAACTCTGTACTATTCAATGTTATATGATATTTCTAATAATGGATTTAGCTTTTGTGGATCTATAGAAGATATACTTCTCATACTTTCAGTTGAATGTTAACATTCTATTACCTTTGAAATTCAATATATAATTTCAACATTTGAAATTTTCCCTAGAATTCGAGTTCATATTTTGATTGATAGTCTCATAATCTCAGTTCTTATATCTTTCCGACGACATGTCTGACATTACATTGATCTTATATTACTAGTATTGCTGACATGATGTGATACCTATGACATACTCTTCTACGCATGATTCCATCAATGTTGAATGCCGTTTATCTCTCTTGTGCATTGTACTGTCGACAATGAAAGATCATAATGAGAATCACGAAAAAATGAAGATGACACGAGCGTCGTTATACATTGAAGAAGGTCAAGCAACGTGTCAGACGAGAAAAATGTACATCAAAGTTCTCAACTGTGTGAGAGATATAGTTCATTTGAGATCGACAATTGCTTGACCAACATGAATAAACACATCATGTGAGGCTAAATGAATAACAACATCTCGACATGAAAATGATACTCTAGCGAAAATTTTTGATGTTTTCTTTGTAGATCTTTGACATATTCGGCAAGGATTCGTTGTTTTTTTCCTGAAGAAACGATAAAATCTGGAAGAAAGTGTGTAGCTATGGAATTTCAAAGTCACGACAGGATTTAGGGACTATTGCCTTAGAACACTTAATTTTTCGGGGAAAGATCAAAACTGACTTTTTGGCATAGGATGATGCGTTGGAATTTCCTCTTTAAGCAAAATAACGTATCTTGTAGGTATCGAACCGTCCTCCAAGTATAACTATGTCACTTTTACGAACCCTGACTTTCATTAAAAATATAGGCTGCAACCTCAAAATGATCACATATTGACCAGAGATCATTAATCGCTTATTAAAGATGACTTAAAAATTTTTGAGATAATCTGTTTGATGCAATTTTTAATGGTTAAAAATAAATGTAAATTAAAAGATCCCGCCAGATAAGGGTCTAAATCTGTCACTCCGTACAACGAAATTACATTCATGCTTTTCTAAAAGGCTGTGTATGTTATTTAGAGTCCTATCAAAGTATGAAGTTCACTGTCTTAGTCCCATCTCATGCTAAGAGACTCATATCTTAGTACTACAATACATTCTTAAAAAAAATGTTCTTTTACCAAACTTGTGTCTAAGGAAAGAATATTTCTGGTTCTGTACGGAACTTCTGTGTGTCTTTTGCTTCAGTGTACTGATTGCCAAGATTTTTTAAGTTGAGCAACAGCGTATGAAATCAAAAAAGCGCTTCCTTGGACACAGGTTGATAAAGGAACGTATTTTTTTAGAGTGTATTGTAGTACTAGGATATGAGTCTCTCAGCATGAGATAGGATAGGACAGAGCAAGGATAAAAAATAGTTCATGAGATGGAGCTAAGGCAGTGAACTTCATACTTTGGTAGGACTATAAGTAACATACAGTCTTTTAAAAAAACATGAATGTAATTTTGTTGCATGGGGTAGCAGATTTGGACCCTTATCTGACGGGGTCCTTTGATTTATTCATTTATTTGATATTTCTCTCTGATAATAAACCATAAATTTATAACAATCACAGTTTGTGAGTTCCATACATTGGGATCATAGTGACAAGTTTTTTTCTTTTGAAAAACCTAAACACAATCTATGGGAAAATTTTCGTTTTACAAATCGATGAAGTTATTTTTTTTTTGAATAAGTTTATCTTCTCAAGATCAAATTTGAAAGATTTACATTGATTCTATCGTTCAGTAGGCAACTGTTTATTGCTTATTGATATCTATTGATTTGTGTACAAGTCTATACACATTGAGTTCGTTAGTACAAGTAAGATATTTAACATGATTTGATTGAAAATTTGAATTTAATTCTAAAGAAAAATGATATAAGTGTTAAACTGAACATAAAAGAGACATTGTTAGTCTGTTTTTTTTATATATTTGTTTACTTGACAACGTTTTCTTTAAAGTATTGTACTTGAAATCTTGAAACATATAAAACATTTCGTAATACATTTAAAAATTCAGCAATTCTTTTATTAAGAATTTGTATTATTTTTTTTCGCATCTTCACAATCACAATTGAAAGATTACCAAGGTCCTAAAATTTTCAATCTTGTATCAACAAAAAACATCTTATTCGAAAAAATAAAGTTAATATGTTTTTAGAACAAAGTATTCTCTATAGAGTAAGGTAAATGAAGAATAGACACAACTCATTTTTATAATCTACGCATTAGTATACGGTGTATTAATTATGAACTCTCGATCAAGGACGGATCCAATCTCCGAGAAATATTGTTCTCACACGAAATAAAACATGATGACGATTATTTTATTGTAAATGGTACGTTTTCTATTTGTGAACTAAAGATTGTATAATTGCCAATGTTGTCAAGGTCTTCATCATTTTGCTGACCTTCACTCATAAACAGAAAGGTCTGTTTAATGGAAATGAAGTTTTAATTCTGTTAACCTTTCTATTGATGATGTTAACGACAACAACAAAAAAAAAGAAAAAGAAAACGATACATTCTCTATCTCAAATTTCGTTGATTCATTTGTATTTGAATGTTAATGGGTAGTATCATCAGCAGATGTGTGAATGACATTAATTCAATACATGTTTTACATAGATAATATTTCCATATTTCAAATTGTTATAGAAAAAAAAAACAAGCCTTTCATTTACGCATTTTTTTTCTTCTATTGTATCATGATAGATGTCATTAACGTCTATAGGTTTTTTTTTCTCTCATAATATTGATTTAAGTTGTAGTAAAAAATTGTGAACGGAAGAGAAAGAAAATTATTTTGTGGTAGCCTTTGTAAATCCGTCAAAGAAAATAAAGATAAAAGAAGCATCTCGGATTAGAGATTCTTTTTTTTTTCCTTAGTACTACAAATATCTCGCCATCATGATCCTCGTCGTCAGAAAATGACAAAATGTCGTGTTGAAATCATAAAAGCACAGAGAAAAAATGATACTTGTTTTTTTTTTGATGACATTAAAGACAACGATGTAACAGAAAGAGAAGAAAGAAAAAGAGGAATAATATACTGAGGAACTTCATTTTCCAAGTTGACAAGAAAGAAGAAAAGATGTCTTTAACTCTTCATGGACACCATATTTTATTAATTGCTACACTAGCATTTGCTACAGCTGTGCTCACACCTAATTGGTATACATCACCAGATTTTCGAGTAAAACGCAATATTTTTCAAATATGTGATACTCAATTATTTTCATGTACATGTCGTTGGGTTCTTTATCCGATATCGAATGATAACTCAGCTACAACAAGTAAATAATAAAAAGATTGAGCTATATTAAAAAATAAACTATTATTTTTATTTTTTAGTTTTTCCAATTGTTGTTGCTTCTTTAGCTATAGCTTGTGCTGGAATAAGTCTTATAGGTCTTTTACTTAGTTCATGGTATGTTGAACGTTTTGCAAGTGATATTGGTTCAAAATGGTTACTTGTATTAATAATAATTTCTATTGTCATCAGCTGTATGTTGAATATTTATTTTAACATATATTATTATATTTGATTTATTTTTTTCAGTTTTATTATCTTGTGGTGTTTGGTCAATTATGTTAACAACAAATTTGTATCAAAATGATACAAATATTAAAAATGTTCGTCTTGAAGATTTTGGTTTTTCATTTTGGATCAATATTGGTGCATCTGCTACTTATTTGTATACTTTTTGTATATATCTTATAATTGTTTGCAGAAATTGTTAAAATAAAATCTTAGACATTTTTATCAACGAATTTATATCCGTCCATGTTAAATAATATATTTTATTTGATTGTAAAGAAATAAAAAATAAAGCAAACAAACAAAAAAAAAAATGTGATTTTAAAACTGAGTTTCAGCATGATATTTGCTACCTCTCTTACGTCGACAGATTAGTCCACTACAAAATGATAAAATCATTGTTATAAATGCCATAAGATAGCCACCCGATGCACCAACTGCTAACCACATTGGCCATCTGAATACTGAACGTTCAGCTCTTTGACCAAGTGCAAGAACTTCTGATATGACTAAAATCCAAACGGCAATTGATGTTAAAACTAAACAACGACAAAAGAAAAAATAATGTTTTATTCAAAAAAACAAAAAAAACAATTAATTTACTTACAAGAAACCAACACTGCAATAGAAACAGATATTAAAAAACATTGTGTATATTTATCTCTTGTACGACGATTAAAATAAATGCCAGATAACCATAAAGCAATAATACTAAGTCCAGCACAACTAATAGCAAGTGCTGCTGATGCCATACTAAGTGCTATAATAAATTATCGATGAAATAAAATAAAATAATACAACAATTACTTACGATATTTCAATATTTCTAATGTATTATTTGATGGATCAATATCAATTATTGATACACATCGTGTTGCTTCGTAAATACTAGTTGTTAAAATGTATTCACATACATAAAAAATTCCATCTTGAATAGTTATATTTCCTAATGATGTAGCCACTTGATATGTTGCCCAATTTGGTGTTAGAATAGCAAGAAGAAATGCAAAACTAGCTGCTACATGCCATGCAAAACCGATCAGAAAAAGCATGATTAAATTGAATCTATGTGCACAAAACAAAAGAACCTTTTGCCTTTCACTTCTACTGAATAATGCAGAAAGTACTTGGAAAAGAAATCTTTTTTTTTTTTATTTCTCTTATATGAAAGAAGAGAAAAAAAGTCGTGGGTGAAAGAGACTGAGCTCTTCTCTTTCTTTTCTCTTCTTTCTTTCTTTCACATTCGAATGCATTGTGTAAGTATGTCAATGCATAAGACAGAGAGAAAGAGAGAAAGGTTTCGTAACTGCATTTTGTGATCAGAAATATTATAAAAGTGGCATGGAATTCTTGCTTGATGATCGACCTTCATAGGTGTTTATTGAACTACTCAGGATCGCGTTCAATGAATCACTTCTTTTCTTACTTGTTACGAACATGTACATATATTTGATTCAATCATTATTTCGAACTACCGAATAGAAAGAAAAAAACTAGTTATAAGACTTCAACAATGATTTTCGAGAATAAAAATGAAAGATTGATTGGATCAAAAAGAAAACGGACAACTCTTCTTAATATGAGTGGGAGTGAGCGAAAAAAAAAAAGAAACAACGAAAAAGCAACTGAAGTCATGAATTCTTTATTTACAATATTCATATTGATTTCGATGCGTAGGCATGTTTTGAGAATGATAATTACTTTTTTTTTTGCTATATATGCTGTACATACTTTGAAACGGATCAATTGACAATCATACGTATAGAAGCATATATTCACATTGACAGAAGTATTCAATCGTATGTTTCTTTTTTTTTTCTTTGGTTTGAATGAAAGATTGAAGTATTTTATGTTATTTTTTCAAACTACAATGGAAATTTCTTTACAATTTGTTTTATATAATCAATTTTGTGTATGATAAAAGAAAAACAAAACTTCGATTTTAATTAAAAGAAACATGTGAATTCGTTTTCAAGTATACGTTTTAAGTAAAAAGACATGTGAATAGGCAAAAAAAAAATATTTCATTAGTTATGCTGCATTTAGACATGATTTTATTAATTTTTTTTTTGTAACTTCACTGTCTATATTAAATTCTTTTAATCTTTCGTTCGAGTTTTTTTTCTCTAGTGAAAAGCAATTCATAAAATACAATTAAATTCTGAGGATTCTCAAAGATTCTATGAATACCTCTTGAAAAAAAATTTTTTTTTTTTTTTTCATTATAATAATGTCTTGTTCTAGTTGAAATTTA